TACATAACCTTCAATTAATCTGGCTTAAGCTGAACAGCTAATTTCATAAATCTCCAAGTGTACCTTTCAAAGCAAAACATAAAACGCTAACTTCGAAATTTTGTTTTAAAAATATAAGTAAATTTGCATACGTAATTTAAAACCTCTTTAAACTAACTTTTACAAGCATCGCAACTTTTTACTAAAACATGGTTTTCATATGTCGGGAAAATCCCAGACGATCGGGGATTTTACCGTTTCCCGACTGTCCCAGATATTGCCAACTAATGAAAACTCGAAATCGTAGATATCCCTGATCGTCTGAGATGGATGGGGACAAATCTGGAGAATCGGGAGCGTTTCTATTTTCCCGACGCGTCCCAGATTTCTACGATGGTAGGCAATCATTCCCGACAAATGCAGCGGATGTCAAACAGAAGTGAATAACAAGACAAGTGCTTGTTTGTTTACTTCATTATATTATCACTTATTTTCGCGTGACTTTAATTTCGCGAATTTGGAATAGAAATATTTCGCGATTTTAACGGATCACCGTTGTTCAAGGTAATAAAATTTCGCTAATCAAGTACACTGGTGCTCGTTTTTTAAACGTCCATTTCTGAATTTTTTTTCAACCATAAAGGAATTTTCACATATTTAACTGATAGAACGTCCAGTTGTATTGACAAGAAGTCGGCGTGTTAGGCCGCATTAATCGCTAAATATGTTAATCGTGCTAGTTCTTTGTTTACTGGTGCACATGGCTTTCAGATTCGTCTCAGTCATCGCAATTCATATTCTGTTGGAATTTTCTGTATAATTTTTGACATTATTTTGTAAGCTTCACCGTTTATTTACGATCGTTTCGCTCGAGATTTCACAGCAACAGTATCTCAGTCATCATCTATCTCTTGTTCAACTTCGTTTTTAGCCCGCCTTGTAAGTATTTCGCGTTACTATTTCATAGTTTCATTACTGTTATTTGCGTTCCTTTTTAAAAGAAATGGGGTGCCTTATAACTCGGCAGACTATCCTGGGTTAATTAATTTTTTTAGCCATTTAAATTTAGGCGCGTGTGCGGGGTTTGCTCTGGCGAATTGTGATTGGCTGGGAAGAACAATTGCATTCTATCAAGTGTTTTTTCAGCAGGGTAGGGTGGCTTTGGGCAAATGATGTATGGGTCCCCAGAAAGGTCACCTCAGGACTCCCTGGATGGAATTTTTTGTACAGTGCCCAGGCCTCATTTTCTTGGCCGCGCGTTGATCTGGCTCGGCTACTTCGGCGAGCATATTCTCTGTCTGTTTGGATTATATCCTTCGAGTTTGTTAAAGTCTGTGGGATTCGTTTCTCTATCTGGGAAAGTTTCATTGGTTTCTATATCTGCTGCTATCCTATTTCTACGATCCTGGCATGTTTATTTTCCATTGGAGTTCGAATTTCGTGGAAAAAGTTGTGTTGAATGACAGCATGTGGGTAAAAATGGCATCTCGTGTCTCCTATCTTGTATATTATTATTGTATATAGAGTGAATTTGAACAAATTACTGCAAATTATCACGAAATTTCATTGGGGCAGTAAGGACAACAACAATTAACTGCAGAGTAAGTTTCATTGATCTTTATTTAGTATTTCCTAGAAATTTTAGGATGATATTTTTACCCAATACAAACACTATAATTTTACTAGAACCGTACGGTGGTACTATCACAGAGCCTGGGTTACCTGTGATGGCATATGAGCAAAAGGCATTAAATTTCGCGATTCAAATGTTCTCAACTGGATTTTTTTTTTTCAACTTTTCTGACATTCTAAATTTGTAGATTAACTGTATGAGCATCCGGCCGGATACTAGCTAGAGTTTCTTCTTCAGTATGCGAATATTAATTAATTTGAAACACCCTCTTTCATAGAAGATACAAAACGGAACTTACTAAAACTCAGTGGATTATTCGTGTATTTTTCAAAACATTGTTGTACTGTACGTGTATATGCTGTTATAATTACATGTTTTATCATCTTTTCTGTGATTTGAATATTCTATGAACTACTTGGTCATTGAATTTCGCGTGTTTAAATTTGACGAGGATTCTTTTTCGCGAAAAACGTCAAATTATAACACTGAACCGGGAAAATAAGTACCCGCAGTGGGTACTGTTGTTTGAAAGAAGGCAATGAAAGAAATATTGACCAAACTCTGACTATCAGTTCGTGAAAGCTATATCTAAGTGCGAGGAGGCGGGGGGGGGGGGGGG